TCTAGGTCTTTTTGCAGCCCGTCGAATACAGACCGCTGTGTCCGAATTCATTTACTGATATCTGCGCTCGATTACGCGCACCACCTTGTACTACCATTTACTAGTTCTACACCGCCTAAGTGACCCCCAACAATGTGCAGGAGGTGTCATCACTTGCATGAACAAATATTGGTGTAATTCCGTTTCAAAACTCTCAGTAAGTTGTCATATAGTGAAGTGTTTCTGAACGGCTTCCTAACTATCGTAGTTGGGGACGTGTGTAAAGCTTCGGACACAGTGCTTTTCGAGCTGTGAAAGTTCAGCGACCACTAGGCTTTGGAGTTGCAACCAAACTTAGAACGTTCTAACTGTGTTCTCACTGGCAACTTCAGTAGGAGTGACAGGTTTCATTAAGAATATCGACTTCGTTAATTCCTCGCAATTCAACACCAGTCTGGAGGTGCACAGATTTAGTACTTGATAACAAACTGGAACTGTTTTCTATACAAAAGCGTGCACTTGGTAATTCTGCTCAATAAATAGTAAATCTATATCTCAGTTGTACAGTATGGTCAATTGTGTTGCACCGACAAAAACATCGTCCAGAGTTGTTAAATGTCGGAACCGCTCAGTACATTTATCATATTCACTTTATATTGGACGCTTTACAAACCCAGTTGGACTATTTGCAAAACAAAATGGACCTTTTTTAAACCATTTTGGACACGTTGCATTTTAAGCAGATAATCAGCAATTCACCAGCAAATAACGTGGAGCAAGGCGACTAGTCTATGTTCAGACTACATCATAGTCATGTTAATGCAACCGAATTGGGTAAGTAGCGGGGGCCATTACAAACCTTCCGCTTGATCGTGAAACTCGATCGCGTCGATCAAAGGCGGCAACTGAGTATTCCCCTCAGTCCCCATCGGTCTTCCTGTAGTTTATGTGCTTCAGACTTTAAACATGGATCTGTGTAGCTATGTGCTTATTGGAAAGTCAGACTCCCGAATTGCGTAGTCTCTTATCACTTAAACATTTGTTACCTAGCGTTACAGGGTCTCTGTGAATCACAAGTCTTGTGAAGCGATTGAGATGCGAAATCCCAATGTGGATGGCGCTTCCCACTGAAATAAACCTTGACCAATTCGATCACCTGGACTATAACTGATGAAGCAGATGGGCCGCGACCCAATAGCCCCCTGTCACTTTATGTGTCTTTACCTTTTTACCTTGGGTGTGTATGTTGGTGAATCAATTCCGCTGCTCGATCATTGGATCAGTGCAAGCTACCATAACTCCATCAAACAAGGTCTAAATGTATTGGCCTACTGCTGCAAGTCGTTATGAAAAAATACGGAGCAAGATAACTAGACAATCTCCAGATTATTGGATCATTGCAACCTATCATGACTCCATCAAACACAGCATAACTTTAGTAGCCCTGGCCTGCACGAAACGGGCAAAATGAGAGACGAGCAGTGAGAGGACGCACCTTCGAGGCCGAAGAGGAACAAAAGAACATCAACGGCACATAAAGAGATCCTCACCAAGTGTGTGATCGTCGACGGTAAAATCAGCCACGATGCTGCTGCAATCGGTCAAATCAACAAGATCACGACAAGAAATATCATTGATGCATACAGTTGAGAAGGTATGACACTAAGCGCTTCTGTGGAGGAAACAACAGGGAGAAGTTGCGCGTTGACGAAACCGCTGAACTTTATTCCGAAGACACCCTGGTACGGATACAGAAGCGGCTGAGGGCGAACAGGATCCACCCATTTTTATCTACTGTCTTCAACGTTATAAGGACGCTTAGGATAAAGCTCAAGTAGTGTCCATAGTGAGTGAAACCGAGTCACCAGTGCCACAACCATAGCATGCCGGCAATCCTACGCCCTTAACTTCTCGGTACACTGACCGATTGGCAAGCAGAGATGCACCTTCCTAGATGAGAGCGGATTCAAGTTCCGTATGCGACGGAGTCACACGTGCACAGGTCGACTTGCCTACAGTCAGAGGGTGCATGGTGACGCTAATTTTGGCAATGAATAACCAAGGTATCGTCCACTCGAAGATCATCTGCGATGTACGTGCAATGGTGCAAAGTTCTCGCTGTTCATCGAGGAACATGTGAAGCATTGCATTCGCGTAGGATAATATATGGAAGAGCGTACGGCTTCAATTGCTTGTTTACACCATCGCTTTCGGAAGCCTTAACAGATCATTACTACTCAGCAGTTCGTCTGAAAATGGTGTCCCTCCGTGTGTGTATTGTGCTGCGTGATTAATACGAAATCGCACCCAATTCACGCAGCTATGCAACAGAAATTCTGTACTCTCAGCCAATTGTGATGTTCTGCAGGGAACCAACTTATCCCTAATTTTATCCTTCGCATAAGCTAAAAATCCTCATATTCTATCAAACTTCGTAGGCTGTAAATGAGCTGATGACGTCCTCGGTTGCATAACCGCAATTATCGAGAACACTTTGTAACTCCAACAAGGGCTAGACAAACTGGTAACTTGGTCAAGCTTTCGGTCATCCTCTCTCAACCCTTCAAAGTATTATGATCTAATGTTCCGTTCGCTACGTCACAACAGACTGCCGTCCCTTTTAAGTATCTTCCCTCCTATGATTGTGGGTCACCGAAACATACCATGTTCCACTACCGGAAAATGTCTCGGACTTTGCAAAAAGAGTAGTTCCTTCTAGTCCGTTCGCTAAAATTGATTACACGCTGCTCTGTTTTAAGGAAAGAACCGCTCATTTATCTGATTTCCAACAAACACTAATGCATGCCACAACTATTCATGTAGGATTGTGAACGGCCTCTCTCAATCTTTACATGTCAACTTAGCTAGCAGTATATCTATTTCCTCCACACGGACACCATGCAAAGTTTTAGATTTTCATACCTCCTCTTATCAAGACTCCATCCTGCCTTCAACCCACCTGAAATGAAACACCGCTTTCGCGAAAGTATGCTAGATTAAAGGTGCAACATTTGGTTTTGATGCAGTCAATTTTGGTTTCCTCATTGATGTTTGGTTGTAGTATATTCGGCAGTGTTAGTGTGCCAATGCTGAGAATGCGTCCACGCGGGTGGATAAAGCTTAATTTGCTGAGGGATCATCGTAGCCATTTCCAAATCATCTAGTCATCTACATGCCAGGAAAAGTACTAGACTGCAGTTTCAGCCTGTCGGACAACATCAGGAGTGTGCATCCACCCTTCATCATCATTATACACGTTAGCTAGAAGTGGGAAAACACCTCCGCTATTGTGCTGCAATACATGAAGGAAATACATACACACATATATATAATACAATACACAAAGGAAAAATAGATACAACAGTTGCATGCTAGCTGAGCTACCGGCAACGGATAGGCATCGTTCCGGTAAGCTACCAGCCAGCTACTAGGAGAAAAGAAAAAAATATTATGTTTTACCCTACGAAATGAGATCGTAGATGGAGGGGGAGGCTAAAAGGGATGGGGAGGGACAAAGAAACTCACAGCACAAACGCCACTGAGGTCGGCTCATAGCCAAGTCCGCAAGTGTATCCACCCAAACGGGTTCATCGTCTTTGGGACCCCAACCAGGTAGCCGTGACGCTCCAACCGAGGCTAGCTTCGAAGTGAGGGACTTCATTCCTCTGGACCAAGTCATCCCTTGGCCACCTCTCCTCTTCTTCCACCCACATCCCCGGGGAGCAAACAACGCACGTCGAGGGAGTCGGTGGCCTGGAATGCGTAACACGTGGCCCAACCATCGGAGTCTGGTGCGGGAAATAGCGGTGCTGAGCGGTTGAGATCCTTTTCCTGGGTCGTAAACAATGTGCCGAACACGCTCGTTACTCACGCGGTGTTCCCACCAGATGTGAGCCAAACTGCAAAGGCACCAATGGTCGAACGTAACTAGCGGCTTCATGTCCGCCGATCTTAGAGGCCAGGTTTCACAACCGTACAGTAGGGTCGAACGTACCGTTGCATTGTACACTCTACCCTTCAGGGCAAGAGTGATGTCGCATCGGCGCCATAAGTGGCGAAGGTTAGCAAAAGCACTTCGAGCTTTCGCAATACGGTTCGTGATCTCGTCTTCGATCCCAAAAGCGCTGATACAACTTCCCAGGTAATTGAATTTCTGAACGACCTCTAGCTGATCCCCACCAAGGGACAGCGCAGGAGGCGATCCCTGCCAAAATTGGAGGAAAGCTTTGCATTTCGATGGTGCAAAGCAAAGCCCGAAGCGGCTGACAGCCAGTGCTAATCTATCCAGCGCGGCTTGGCACGTCTGGGTGCTGTCACGAAGGACGGCAATGTCGTCTGCATACTCCAAGTCAAGAAGTCGTTCTCCTGGGAGTAGCTCCACACCTTCCAAGTCGTCCTGTAAATGCAAACTCCATGGCTTCGTCAATAGCGAAGTTGAAGAGGAAAGGTGACAGCGGGCATCCTTTTCTCACACAGCTGGAG